CCCACCACAGGTGGCCTTTGTCCTGGCCCAGGGGAGCGCCGGGATTGCAGCTGGAGCCCAAACTGAGGAGGAGGAGGAGGAAGAAATCAGGGTGAGGAAGAGCGATGTCCGTTTGGTGCCGGTGGATGACACTGAATTGAAGCTCCTGTGCTGTCCGGGAAGGGAAACGGTCATTTTCCACGGCGGCATCGGCTGCCGGCCACGGGCTCATCACCACCATCCCACATCCTAACCTCAAAATGTTAAATTTTGGGGCTTTTTTCCTAGAAATCCACTTTTTTTAAATGATTTCAGTGCTTTTTCGTGGCTAACCCACAAGTGTGGTTTCCCAGTGTGGTGCAAGAGCATCCGGCATCCGTTCCGGTGAGCACTGGCACTCCTCCGCACCCGGATGTCCCGTGAAAAAGCTCTTCCCTCGCTCCTCACCGCGTCCGGCAACGGCTCCGCCGGCACCGTCCCCTCCTCCCCGGCGCCCGTGTTTCACGCTGCCACCCGCTTTAATCCGCCCGGGATTACCAGGGCTGGATTCCGCATCGTCAGGATTTTGTGCCGCTGGCCGGAGCCGCCAGGAATGGGATTACCGTGGCATCGCCGGCGTCTCGTCCCCTCGTGTCTGGGTGATCTTTTGCCGCTGCAGCTCCTCTCCCCACCAACACCCGGTGTTTTTCGGCACTGAGAAGAGGAAATTGAGGGTGAAAATCCCAAAAAAAGGGAATTTTTTTTCCCCAGAAAACGAGCACTAAAGGCTAAAACCCCACAACTTTCTACTCGCCGATTTGAAAAAGCAGCGCTCGGGCGGCCTGAAACCTCTTTCTTCCCGTTTTTAATCCCACCTTAGTGCCTCCCGAGGTCACACGTAACGTTTTTATCCCCAAAAACGCCCGTTTTTGCCTTATTCCTCCCCACGCCCGAAAAATCACACCCAGAACCGAATGTAGAAACTGTCGGAGTTGAAGGAACATGATGAAAACGGGGAGGAAAAAACTCAACTTCCCTCTCTTGCCTTAATCCGGATTATTTTGGATTCCGGCTCGTTGTTGGGTGGGGCTGGATGAGGCAATTGAAATGAAAAAAATCTCTTTTTTGGGGCCAGAAAAGCCGTTTTCCAACACTACGCTCTCCGAGCCGTTAATTCCCAGCCCCGTTTCCCCCCCAAAACCCACAGACCCTCCGGTATTTCGGCTCTGACCCCGTTCCTGACGTTCCTCCCATCGAAACCTCCCGGAGAGGCCCAGAGCGCCTGGATTTAATTACCGGTGTCGTTTCGTTACCGATAACGCAGCCAACGCCGCCGGAGAACGTCTGGAATTCATTTCCCGGGACGCGCTGACGTTGAGGATCTCCATCCTCCACGTTAGAACTTTTGGTTTTAAGCATCTCTTGTATTTTTTTCCCTGTTTTTAGGGGAGATTCTCCTCATGAAGCCCGTCATCCCCCGTCTCCACGAGACGACTGTCTCTTGAGCCGACCGGGAAGAGCTGCGCTCCGCGGGAACATGTCCGCCAAGGTGCCCATCTACCTGAAGAGAGGCAGCAGGAAAGGGAAGAAGGAGAAGCTCCGCGACATCCTCTCTTCAGACATGATCAGCCCACCCTTGGGAGACTTCCGGCACACGATCCACATCGGAAGCGGCGGAGAAAGCGACATGTTCGGCGACATCTCTTTCCTCCAAGGGAAATTCCATCTTCTTCCCAGGACTGAAAGCAGCTTCGACTCCGACCGGGACGGTCCGGACACAGCGCCGTTCGAGTTCTCCAGGACAGCCACCGTCTCCGGGCGGGAACAGGCAGCATCCCCGCTCCTCAAAAACGCCATCTCTTTGCCCGTCATCGGCGGGCCGCAGGCCTTGACGCTGCCGGCGGCGCAA